AGAGTCTGGTGTGGATGAACTTGACTGGCCTGCACAGAGTCCTGACCTGAACCCGATAGAACACCTTTGGGATGAATTAGAGCGGAGACTGAGAGCCAGGCCTTCTCGACCAACATCAGTGTGTGACCTCACCAATGCACTTTTGGAAGAATGGTCAAAAATTCCTATAAACACTCTCCTCAACCTTGTGGACAGTCTCCAGAAGAGTTGAAGCTGTAATAGCTGCAAAAGGTGGACCGACATCATATTGAACTCTGGGTTAGGAATGGGATGGCACTTCAGTTCATAGTATGAGCCAAGGCAGGTGAGCGAATACTTTTGGTAATATAGTGTATATATGTAACAATATAAAGCACAGCGTATGTTTCATATCAGCTTTATCGCACTCTGTGGCAGTGTCTTGGGATATCATGTGCAAAAAATAGCCTTGTTTTTTTTTTCATTAGGTTTGTTTTCTCAAAGACAATTCCCATTCATGGATTGTTGAACACGAAAAGCTCGGTGCCCCCAAGTCTGTGCCAGTGGTGAAGACGGGAAACGACACACAGTGATGTTTCTGCAGCCATCTGTCTGTCAGGACTGGGAGGAGGAAAACAGCATCAGACTCACTGCACATTTGATAGTCCAGTTACGTAAAGATGAAAACTGTGAAGTGTTGGCAAACCATTGGAGGCCTGTGATCAGGAGTGCTGATCTGAGAGTTAGGGCCAGGTTTAGTTGTTGGGCGTCAGTATTCAGTTTCAGATCTGTGGTCTAGTTTTATCTCAGAGCAGATGAGGCCGCTGATTAAGATCTTAAAGGATCAGCCATCAGTGTGTTTAAAGGTGAAGATTGTACATTTAAGTGATAGCTGACTATGAGAAAAAGCATCTCTGAACCTCAGTGTTTTGGATGAAATCTTTCCAAGACATATTTCATTCAGAGACATTCAAACTTTCTAGAAAATGTGCATCAATCCAGATGATTGAGGATGGATTAGGAACAGTAGAGGTTAGTTTTGTTTGTTGTTAGAAGCAGAGATACATTTCCTGTAATTTGAATTGCCAATTGTGTTGCCAAAAGTGATAATTTGCAAATGTGTTTAATCTCCAAGTAAAAAAACAACTATGTTTTAGCCCTTGAAGTGTTGACGTGACTAAAGTAAATGGAAACTTTAATACTTCATATGAACTGGGAAAACAAGTTCAATACAAATGTCTGTTCTGATGTGAAACTGAAAATCAAGTCAATCGGCCAAGATTGACAATGAACGTGTGTGTTCATGAATGCATGAGTGTATGTACACAGTAGAGGTAGTGATTTGTTTAGAATGGAGTGATTCTGTGTGCAGGTGTTTCAGAGGACATTTATTTTGAAGTTTTGTTTTGTTTTTGATTTTGGATGCTTCCCCTTGGTGCATAGACATCTCGTTGGCTGCAGACACCCCATTCATTGTCCTTATTGTTTTCTTTGAACATGTTAATGTGTGGTTAGACCATAGACTGTATGAAGTAAGAAATGAACACATAGGTATTCAGCCAATAAAGTTAATGTGACAATAATAAAGGAATCCTTTGCATTATCCAATAACATAATTTCTTAAATGTTTATCTTCTTCAATCTTAAGTTTTATGGATTTTATAAGTTGCTTTCTATGCACTTACAATAACTTCATGTTATTCTAATCATTTGTATAGGACGACTGTCCTCAAGAAGTTTTACAGGGCCGACTTTTTTTGAGGATGCAGTAAAGCATTTTTTCACACCCAGAAAGAACAAAACTAAAATGTATTTCTGAAATTAGGCAAGGTTTATGGGTTTTGTCAATGTTCAAATTAGAAATATGTTTTAGGAGAAACAACAAGGGAGTATTTTATCTTGAAAATACCTGAAACGCTTTATAAAAACCTGTTCTGATAATATTATAGAAGTAATATTAGATTACCAGTGCCATTCACTCAGTTCACTTCTCTCATACCGTCTATGGCCTAGACCACACCTCTGACATCACAGCCTCCATCCACGTCTCGTTTGTTACTTTCTTGTGGATTCCAAAATAAGTCTCTTTTGTCTCTGTTACAAAACAAAACAAGCAGAAACAATGAGACTTCTGCAGCCACAGATCAGAACCATATTTCACTCTCCAGCTCACAAACACCAGAAATATTCTGGGGGCACTTCTGAATTGTCTGGATTAAAACAAAAACAAAACAAAAAAATAAAAGAACAGCAATTTGACATTGAAAAATTAATAAAAGAAATCAAAGTCGGTTTTAAAAGGGAAAACACTGCAGCAACACAGCTTCTCCGTTAGAAAAAAAGAACATGCCTGTCATTCTTCAACAGGCAGCAAAATATAAATTTCTTCTGCAACTGACAACATAACGAAGAACATTTAACAAAAGAAAAAATAAACATAACACAGCTTTCTGGTGACTAATTAGGTGAGCCACTAGTCAAGGATTCTATACATTTTATCTTTAAATGCTATATACGTGTCTCAATATATTATTTCATTCTTTTATTTTACAAAACAAAGAATGTGTGTGTGTGTTTGTGTGTGAGATGGGAATTAATATGTATGTGTGTGGTCAGTGAATGGAAGTCAGGGTCTTTCTTAGGCGTTTCTAAGACTCAACTCTTTCTACTGCTGGTGCATGCTGCCTCTGTCCAGCCAATCAGAGCAGAGATCAGAGGAGAGGTCACTGCTGATTGACAGACTCCTCAAGACTGATAATGAATTGAAGAGAAAGGAGATGATCAGCTCCCATTGCATGCTGGGTAAAGGAATTAGTAAAAATAAAGAGGCGCTGTTGTGTGTGAAGGCCATGAAGGTGTGTTACAGTCAATGTACTGTAGAGAACAGACAACCTTCTGCAAGGATGTCACTTCCTGTTCACCTTCCATGAATCTTAGCAAAGCTGATTCAACTCTCTTGCTCTAAAGACCAAGATGGTGGATTTTCTAACTGTTTCCTGTAATTCTTAAAAAAAAAAAAAAATCTGGGAGATCAGGCATCAACCATGTCCGAGCAAAAAAGGCCAAACTCTTCCTGTGTGTACTGTAAATATACATCTCTACACAATACTGTGCAAAAGCCTTGTTCACCTTTGATTTCACATTTCTGCATAGGAACAGGTAGCCTTGGATCTGAACCACAGCTAAAACCAACAGTGTTTGTATTCATGCAAATAAGTTGCACCTAATAGCGCCGAGCCATTTGGTTGTAATGTTGCTCTGTTTAAGACAGTATTAATGCCATTTATTTGTCATTTTAGGGAAAATCACATGGATTCAGTTTTTAAAACAAAATCTCAAGGAAAAGGTTTAGTGCTAAAGGATGACAAGAAATACAGTAACGCCTTGTCTTGTCTATTACCAACTCCTTTGCGTGTAGCCACTTTTTACTGTGGTTTTTAAGTGCACCTCAAAAAAAGAAAATTCAAAATTAAAATTGAATTGAACTCCCAAAACTTTTGCACAGTAGTGTGGGTACAGTATATAAAAACACATTTACACACGTGTGTGAAAGTATGATTTAAATAAACAACAAAAGAAAAAACAAGCAAAAGCACAAGTCGAGAAAAAAATAAAGGGTCAGTTCATTCATTTAATCAATAACAATACTGCATTTGTCTGCATAAAGAAATGGTATTGTTGTAAATTTTAAATGTTTTTGTCTGCTCTTTAGTTGTTGCTTATACAAATACACTGCTCAAAAAAAATAAATAAAGGGAACACTAAAATAATACATCCTAGATTTGATTGAATGAGATATCCTTATTAAATACTTTGTTCTTTATGTAGTTGAATGTGCTGACAACAAAATCACAAAAAAATTATCAATGGAAATCAAATTTATTAACCCATGGAGGTCAGGATTCGGAGTCACACTCAAAATTAAAGTGGAAACACACACTACATTCTGTTCCAACTTTGATGTTATGTCCTTAAAACAAGTCAAAATGAGGCTCAGTAGTGTGTGGCCTCCATGTGCCTGTATGACCTCCCTACAATGCCTGGGCATGCTCCTGATGAGGCGGCAGATGTTCTCCTGAGGGATCTCCTCCCAGACCTGGAGTAAAGCGTCCGCCAACTCCTGGACAGTCTGTGGTGCAACGTGGCATTGGTGGATGGAGTGAGACATAATGTCCCAGATGTGCTCAATTGGATTCAGGTCTGGGGAACGGGGCGAGCCAGTCCATAGCATCAATGCCTTCGTCTTGCAGGAATTGCTGACACACTCCAGCCACATGAAGTCTAGCATTGTCCTGCATTAGGGGGGAACCCAGGGCCAACCGCAACAGCACAGTCTCACAAGGGGTCTGAGGATCTCATCTCGGTACCTAATGGCAGTCAGGCTACCTCTGGAGAGCACATGGAACCCCCCAAAGAAATGCCACCCCACACCATTACTGCCAAACCGGTCATGCTGGAAGATGTTGCAGGCAGCAGAACATTCTCCACGGCGTCTCCAGACAGTGTGACACTGCTTTTATCTGTGAAGAGCACAGGGCGCCAGTGGCAAATTTGCTAATCTTGGTGTTCTGTGGCAAATGCCAAATGTCCTGCACGGTGTTGGGCTGTAAAGCACAACCCCCACCTGTGGACTTGGGGCCCTCATACCCATCTCATGGAGTCTGCTTCTGACCGTTTGAGCAGACACATGCACATTTGTGGCCTGCTGGAGGTCATTTTGCAGGGCTCTGGCAATGCTCCTCCTTGTACAAAGGAGGAGGTAGGGGTCCTGCTGCTGGGTTGTTGCCCTCCTTCGGCCTTCTTCACGTCTCCTGATGTACTGGCCTGTCTCCTGGTAGAGCCTGCATGCTCTGGACACTACAGTCATGGCCAAAAGTTTTGAGAATGACACAACTATTAATTTTTACAAAGTCTGCAGTTTCAGTTTTTATAATGGAAATTTGTATATACTCCAGAATGTTATGAGGAGTGATCCACTCAACTGCAATTATTTGCATAGTCCCTATTTGCCTTGAAAATGAACTTTATCACTAAAACCACATTTCCACTGCATTTCAGCCCTGCCACAAAAGGACCAGCTAACACAATTTCAATGACACACAGGTGTCACACACATTAACACAGGTGTGGGTGTTGATGAGGACAAGGCTGGAGATCAATCTCTCATGATTGAGTGACTGGACACTTGGAACTGGAAGATGGTGCCATTGTTCCTCATCTGTTAGTCATGGTTACCAGCAAGGAAACACGTGCAGTCATCATTGCACTGCACAAAAAGGGCCTAACGAGGAAGTTTATTGCAGCAAGTAAGATTGCACCTCAGTCAACCGTCTATAGCAGGGGTCTCAGACTCGCGGCCCGGGGGCCAAGTGCGGCCCGCAGTACAATATTTTGTGGCCCGCACCTTAATATTAAAGTATACTGTTAGTGTGGCCCGTGGAGAAACTGGACCTCCGAAGAGCCAATCAGCAAGCTCCCGCGCGCCGTCCCTTGTCGGGGATAGGCTAAGCTACACCAGCTTCGTGCACTTCACGCTTGTAACAACAGCATGGCGTGTATTGAACAGCCAGACAGCAGTCGCCTTTGCGCTTGCCATCTATCGTACTTTCTACCACGAATGTCATGATCAAGCGCAAAAAGAACGGCG